TCATCATCATCAGCATCATCATCATCTCCTCGTCCTCCCCTCGGAACCCACAGCTCCTCCTTCTCCTCCTCCTCCTCCTCCCTGCTCCTCCTCCTCCTCCACCTCCTCCTCCTCCTTCTCCTCCTCCTCCTCCTCCTGCTCATCCCCCTCCCCCTCCTCCTGATCCTCCTCATCTTCCTCCTCCTCTTGTCGCTGTCGCTGCTGGCATCGGAGTTCGATTGCATTGCTGCCGTCAACCTCCTCCTCCTCATCCTTTTCCGAGTGGCTCTCGCGTCACTCTCACCAATCCATGATCGACGGGGCTGCTGCGGGCAGGGCAGCAGGTGGAAGCGACAGGGCCACAAACACCCCGAAGGGGCGAATTGCAAGCCACCACGCCAGGATCGCCGGTCCTCCTCCTCCTCCTCATCATCATCATCCTCCTTCTCCTTCTCCACCCCTTCTACCTCCTCCTCCTCCAGTCCTCCAGCCCTCCTCCTCCACCTCCTCCTCCTCCTCGTCCTCCTCCCCCGCCTCCCGCCTCCTCCTCCTCCTCCTCCTCCCCCGCTATCTATCTATCGACTTAGGCGCGCGACGATGTCGGCAGCGCCTGAACTAGCAGAAAGAAGAAAGCGGGAACAGCTGTTGGAAGCGCTGAGCTGTCCCCGCCAATCCGAGTCGGACGGAGGCTCTTGCCCAGCACGCTTCCACTCCTCGAGCTGATCCGATGACACTCCATACCGAGTAAGGCGCTCCTCACGCGACCACCTTGGACCCCAAACAGGCTGGACAGGCAATCGAGACGAGCTGTTCATCGCTCCACTTAGCCCGCGAGGGGCAGCAAGGGAAAGGAGGTCCGCAGCCGAGGGCTCCATCAAGGGCCCAAGGCGCCACCCACGGCACACAGGACCCCAGGACGGGAAATCGCCCCCCCAGGCCCGACTCAGCTGGCGCATCGCGTGCTTAGTGGGTGGCCTGCGCGGGCAACCTTTGGCCAACGATTGGGCAGCTGCCCAGGCATAGCCCCCACACGCTATACAAATCAAGCACCGAGGGCCTGACAAAATCGAAGCACCGTTCGCATCGAACACAGAGGCGACCCTCAGCTCATGCCCAAGAAGCTGCAACAGCAGCGACAGCTCGGGATCTGGGGAGCCTCGGGTCTCAGCCTCGTTCTGAAACTTGAACCGCCCACGAGACAGCGACGACATAATGGCCGACGGCACGCGGCGCGTGACGCGGGCGGCGAGGCGCCTAGCCTGCCGCTCAGCCTGTACATCTGACGCGGCGGCTCCTGGCAGTGCGTCTGCGCCCTGAAGAGAGCCTCGGGACATCAGCACCTCATGGGAACCTGCCCACCGAGCGACCGAAAGAACCAGCCTGCCGAGGCATTTGATGTCTTTCGCCGCTGCAGTCGCGTCGGGATGGGCGCCCGCACCGCGGCGGGCATACTGGTCGGCAAGCCGGTTCCCCTCCCTCTCCCACCCAGACGTCCTGCCCGCGTCCACATCCCCCTGGGTCGCATGACCCTTGCTTTCATGAGCCGTGAGGCCAGAATCAAACCACTGGAAGACTCGAGTCCACAGATGGGCCCTCGGGCTCGACGAATCGAATGCGAAAGCTGGCGAGGTGCAGCAATCCACCGTGCCCTGGCAATCTATGTAAAACTCAACGGGCTCTGAGACACAGACACAGGCGAATACTATTGCAGCATCCTCTCCATCGCGGGCCCGCCAGAACGGAGCAAGGTCGGCTGGCGCGGCGCCGTGCGCGCGCGAGAGAAGGCGCCCCCATTCGTCAGTCATGACAAGCGACCAACCTGTGCGACGGCTGAATTCACAATTGGGAAACACGGCCCAACCGTCAGAGAAGATTATCCCAGACATGGCTCCTGAGGCAGGCCCGTTGTCCCAGTGAATCTGGAACTCGGAATTGAACGAGTAGAGAGGGGCAGGAGGAAGGTCCATCGGGCTGGGGAAAATACCACAGGCCGCTCGTTCCCGCCCCTGGCCCCGCAGCTCGACTCCCCTGAGCGCGGCTAGAGCTCGAGGATCGCAGCGGTCACGGCGGCTGACAGACCACGCCGGGCAATGCACCCCACGGCGAAAGAGCGCAACTGGGCCCCCGCGGCAGGCCCGACAAAGTCCCGCGGCAGAGATCCGGTGGTCAAGCTGCTTCTGCTGCGTCCAACTGGCCATCGAGACAAACGATCAAACGGCACTCTGGTAATGCTCCGTCCAAACCTCTGACCGACTCCCCTTTCCAGGGCTTGTCGAAGGGGCTTCCAGAAGATCGGCCTAGTCCAAGCCCCCTCTGACTGGTGGTGAGACAGCGCTGCCGCATCTGACCTAGCAAGTGCTGCTCTCTCAGCCAACACCCTTACTGGGCGAAAATCTGAGAAGGCCCAGCCGCTCACCTCTCTCCGTGACAAAATACCGAGCCGAGTCCCCCATCCAACCCAACTCCGAGAGGGCGAGCAGGAAGACGTGAACAGGCGAGCACGCCACTCCCCAAGGATTCC